CACAGATTCAGTAGCATCATCCGGCCTGCCCTACCAGGATTTTAAACCACTTTTAAAGAAATCTCTTTTAAAGACTTGGCAGCTAGAATGGGACACTGAAACCAACAACAAACTCCAAGTGGTTAAACCAATGATAGGCATCTGGGAAAGTTCATTTCACAAAACACCGTCGTATCGAAGTTCTGCTTTGTCGCTTGAAAATCGGCCCTTCACTTCTGACACATATGCACCTCCTCTGGGGCGAAGAAGTTGCACTCTGTGCCTATTGTGGGGAATTACTTACAATTTTACACATTCTATGGGAGTGTAGGGCTTTTTTTCCTGCAACAGTATGATGTTTGGCGCTCTATGGCCTAAGGTGCCTTTGTGCCAATAAACCCCAATCAATCAATCTATGGGAGTGTAGGTTTTATTATCAAACGCGCGTATCATGTTTTCCAGAACATTTTGGACACTATCTACTCTTTCATCTTATGTTTCTACTTGGTGACAGCGCTTTAGTACCACTTAGACAGGTTTTAATTTTCTTAACAAAACTGGTTATCTACACCAGTTATAAAAAGTCTCTAGCCTAGCATCTGTTGCTCCCGAATATTAATAAACATTTTGTTTGGCACATTATGGCCGCCGTTCCCGCTGCGGCATTAAAACCTTAATCTTACTTACTTTAAAAAATTTTAAAAACACGATTTTGCAGGAAGAAGACATTTTCCTACTTCAAGAGCATAGGCATGCCCGGACATGCACCAAATATAATATGGGGAAACATACGAGAATACCACAAAAACGTAAGTAGAGTTTCGAAAACGTATCCCTTGTTTATTAAGATATAATTGTCACTATAGCTACATACAGCTCAGGAAACGCATGGAATGACTTATGTTGACACTTTTAGCCTCGTGAGTCTTTTTCTTCGGTGGTAATATTGGCTGACGCCTCAATCTCATTGACTGCGTAGTGATAATAATCTAGACTCGCCACATTCGGATTTTCTTAAGTTGTCGCCCTACGGAAATATCGTAGATGTATAAGATAATTTTAGTAGAGCAAACACATATGCTGAGATAAGGTCATATAAAAGAATATAAGAACTTTATAGTAACGTATAAGAAGAATATAAGATAATATAAAAAGCTATAAAAGCCTTCTTATCAGTTCAATATAACTTATCATATTTTCTTGTATTGTTCTTATGCGTTCTCATCTGATTTTATCTCACATGATATTATACAAAGATAGTGTGCATACAGATTCGAACGCCATTCACCGCGAGATCTGTGCTTCGAATGCCTCATGGCAATGAGTTCAAAAAGAAATTTGGCACGTGGCATTTGCACCACGGATATTGCGGTGACTTGTCGACTGGCTTTTGTAGGATGTATATGCATGAGCAGTGTGACCCCGGCTTTAGGGTCCTGCCACGGTATGGTTGTGGACACATCGATAGTTTATTTTCCTGTGAACTTGAACTTTCTGAGAGGGATTCGCCGAGGAGACGTACAAAAGGTGCATTAATAACAAGAATATTTGAATTTCGAAACGCATTTTAAGAAAAATATTAGATTTATGTGACAGATTAAGGCGGCATGCGACAAAAATATTTTCTAGAGATTTTACAAGGCGTTGAACGAACGGTGCCATACTTATGGTGAGATTTTGGGCAAGTTCGTTTGGTCCACTTGTATATGCTGATTTCATCAACAAAAAAACGCAGAGAAAGATATAAAAATATATTTTCAATTTATCACAAATCCGAATTCATCTGGAAACTAGCGCTTGCATGTTTGTTTCGGTGAAGTGGCTTAAAGGAGCGATGCAACAATTTTTGTACTTCGCGCAAATACCGCTTAAAACGGATCCCTAACGTTAATGACCTATGAAACACGCGTTCGTTTTTCACCCCACGCAATAGAAGTCCAGAAAAAAAATCAAAGAAAAACGAGCAGCGTTCACCCCCTCAACTCGCAGCCAGAACAAGCGGCCACGTGATCTGGAGCCGATTATATGCCGCCAGTGTTGATCATAGCCATGCGCTGGGTTTGGCAAAGCGCAGGACACACGCTGAGTTCCAGACATTGTTATGGCTCGGCTGTTGTCGTCGTTGCAGCGATTGGACGCGGGTCCAATCTACAAATGCTTCTCGAGCTAGCAATTATCACGAGCCCAAGTCGAGTGCCCACGCAATGCTCGGGTCCAATCTATAAACCGCATTCAAATATCGTCACTTGGGTGTACTGCGATCCCCACGTTACGTCACCAAATTTCGCAAAGGAGAGATTGAATGAAAATGATCGCTTTTGTCCTTGAAATGACACCGCAACAAAGAAGTTTCTTGGCAAGTGGCGTTGCGTGCGAGTATCCTTGAGTCTTAGGTGTGCCAGTAAGCTCATGTGTCAAGTGAAAAACATTCCAATTGAATATCGTGGCACAGCTCCTTTAAATGACATCCACTTCAAGCGAGTTTTACATAGCTGCAGTCCTCTTAAGCGGTGCCAATCGATATTTAATTTTGTGTTGCTTAGACATTGCATAACTGTAATAAGCTTTCTTCCCTTTAAGACAAAGTTTCACATCTAGTTTCCCCCCTAAAAAGTCAGTAGAAGTCAAAATAAAATTTTCCGTGTAATTAAAGGGACCCTGAGGAGGTTTCTGAGATCGCTTACATATGGTGATAACTCACTCTGCGGGCTCTGAACATCCTAGAAATTCCTAAATCACGATCATGCGCTGCGGATTTCCCTATCAAAAGACAAATCAAAGATCGCAACACACCGAGGTCATCTCAGGTGATGGAAGGAGCATGTTCTGGCAGCCGGATGACATGTGACCAATAAAAACACAAGATTTCGTAAAGATCGAAAACGTTATTACAAAATGTATATGCTTTTTCAGGTGCTAAAAGCAAATAAGAGTGTGAGACAAATGCTAATTTTTAGCGGAGGGGGAATATAATACCGAAAAGAAACGATTCAAAAACAACGCAATCTGCTGTTTTTTTGTTGTTGTTTTTTTATGCGGGAGTGATATATTTCGGCGACAGGTGGTCTGCTTTCAAGCATCGCAGATCATCGGTCCTCTTCACGCGGATTCAGCTGGATTCTTTCATCGAGAGCGTCTGCTGCCTCAGGGGGACTGGCGCCTTCCCGGCGCGGTTGGCGTGGCCGCTGTCGTAATTGTTTGCTGCGCTCGCTGTACTCGAATTTACAGTGTCGTGCAACGGTCTCGCATCATCAGAGATGGACCCCATGTAGGCTGAGTCAGTCACAAATGTGCCCTGTGCACATACCTTATTGGCTCTCATTTTCGCCCCTCATCTTCCTTTACAACGCTTACACACACACACACCCATATCGGCCGCTCTTCGAAGCATCGCTTCCTTGAGAGGCATCGGGTTAGCGAGAGCCATGGCGCGATGAAGCGATGGCTGCGGTGGTAAACGATTGACTTTCTCTTCTACGACAATACGACTGACTAAAATACCTCTCCAGAGTCCGGTTGTCCTAGCTATCCTTGCGGCGAGACGCGCGCATTTGAGATATCATTCCACGGGTCGGAGAGTGCTTCTGGTTTCGGAGCAAGCTCTTTCCATCGACTGAGATGACCTCGGTGTGTTGCAATGTTTGATAGCTTTCTTAATAAAGAACTCCAGCGCCTATCGTCTTGATTTAGCGATTTCTAGAATGCTTAGCGGCAGCAGAGTGAGTTACCGTCGTATTTAGGCGCTTTCAAGAACATCCCCAGGGCTCGTTTAAGGGAGTTGTAGATGGAATCAAAATTAAGCGCTTTGTGTTTAATCTATGGTCAAGTATTGTAACAAGATTTGACCACGCGGGAGAAACTACGACGCGCTTTCAATGCTATACGACATATTTCGTGTTTACACACTGAAATAAGTATGCACAATAGTCACTGAAAGCTTAACAGACGCCGTGAGTGGCTTATAATGTTCCCGCTGCTTGCGTCGTGATTCATCCTTAGGCGTGTTGTCGACAAATGCTGCCATCTCATTGGCTAAAGAGCGATAATAAGATGCCTTAGAGTCTTAGACTCACCAAACCCAACATCTCTAATGCTGTTTGTGATTATACCTTTCACATAAAATACGAGCGCTAAAAGTTTATTCAATAAATTAACGATTTTCGTAACGATTTGACGCAAAACATTCTTCAAGAGGGCCTCGATTAGTTTCAGAACATTTGTGGCACCTTCTGTTTCAGTTTTAGCCACCTAAAAGTCTAAACTGGCGAAAGTTTCTAATGATTTGCTCGCCCAATTCTTGCAGATTACAGTTTTCCTCTCTTTCCCTAGATTCTACAACGGTGACATCCCACGCTAGTTGTGAAGGACCTGGACTTCACAACTAGCTAGCGTCACAAACTTCCAAAACTTTACTGACCGGACGTGAGTTCATAGCGACTCAATAGTTAGTTTCTCTCTAAATTCATCCCCAGCCCATGCGAAGACCTGTTAGAGCCAATCGAACAGCGCTAAAAGTGCATCGTCATGCTGCTCATCGTCATTGGGCATTTACCATCACCAGCTAAGCCAATATCGCAGACGAAAAAATAAAAAACATGGTCACGGCGCGTTCGCTGTGTATGATTGGTTGAGCCATAAATGTCAAACGCTCCAAGTTGAAAGACGCCATGCCGAAGAACTTTTGGGGCTGCTCGATCGGCTCAAATCCTAGCCTGGGCAGCGGTCGAACTTATACCCGTGCTACATGGGCAACTCGAATGCCATTTACAATGAATGACATTCGTGTGATCAACGAATCGGCTCGCGATCTGTCGCGCGTGGAACGCCCCACGCTCGGAGTGTCGCGCGCTGATTGACCGATCGTTCAAATGTCCTTCGCTGTAAATGGCATTCAAGTTGCCCCTGTGGCACGGGTATTACAGTGAAACGGAGAGTGGTACCCGTTACGCTACATCCAATTAACATCCATTACGTTTTTTTCTGTAACTGACATATCGTCTGATGATATTCCAGATAACTATATGAGAACCGACGAAATGCACCCTTGTCTCGAGAATGCTATTCTGAATGCAAAGGGGACACAATGGAGAACACTGCGCGGTTACCCTTCCTTTGGATTTGTTATAACGAAGCTAAAACAGGTACGTTTGGATGCATTACGTACATTTACGCAGATAAAAGATCCAAAATGATCGGCGGTCAATCTACAATAGCCGCGCTTCCCCTGGCTAATAGTGAGCACCTAAAGCGCCTTCGTTGAGCGGATCCTTGGGCCCCTCGCGAAATTCGAGCGATATCTCCTTGAGCCACTTGTCCATCTGGAGCCGGTGTAGGGCTCGCCGAGAGACTCTAACCGGTCCCTGGGAAGTGGCGGAAAGCGTTGAGCGATACGAAGTTCAGCGTTCAGCGATTCACGGACCTCCCTCCGTCTGTTTCGGTGTTGGGGGGGGGGGGGGGGGGGTGCGGAGAAATTACTAAGGAAGGTAAAAATGGGACCTCATCAACTCGAAGAAAGACTGAACAAAAGATCACCCTGGTGTCTTCATGTCGCCTGCAGAAGCTCCCTACCTCTAAGGTACAGCCAATCACACGTTCTTGTGGCTGTCGTCAAGGCATTCGCTGTTGCTGTCTGTCCTCAATATTCCGAGAATAAGAAAGGGAAGGGGACGACAACGAAAAGGAAATCCGTGCTGTTTGCGTGGCTAATATCCACGCTGAAAACATACGTGCGCGCCACTAATTTCACGCTTTTCGCAAAACGCACTCAATATTTATTTTTATTTTTTTTTTTTTTGGCTTGGAATGGCCGTAATTTGTTTGGACAGCCCTTGGTGCCGTACGTCTAAAGCAGGGCATGCGGCCCGCGGTCCGCGACTCGCTGAGACGCGGCCCGTAGGCAACCGACTACGAGTCCCGGTTCCCATGCACTAGAAATGTCATATGTCATCGTGATCTCATCTCGCCGATTCCCTTTTCCTCAAAAATAGCTCTGCTCTTTTAACGTATTCACATTGTTTATACCTATCTGTGTTCACTTACTGTTTGTTTCGCTTTTCCTTCTTAGCTTTCTGTAATGTACAACAATTCCGCTACTAGGCTACAAGCGCGAGCTCTTCGTTGAAAGACGCATCTCGGCTGCGCGAACTTTCTATTAGCAGGAGAAACGGTTAGAGATAAAGCTGAAAACTCGAGATTATAGCCTTAAAAAATATGATCATTAAAAGACAAGTGCCAGAAAAGCAAGAATTGTCGAATTAACCGATTTATTTTCTTTTGAGACATATGTTGAGCTTTGTTAATTTCCGAGTGAATTAAGCAACGGGAAGGACAGTTTGCGTTCTTGTTTTATTGAAAATGCCAGCACGTTGGCAGTGCGGTGTCATCCCAATTGTTGTCACATCAGGCCTGGGCCCAAAGAGTTATATAACCCCCGCCCCCGCCCCTCCTCCCCCGTCTTACGTTGGCCTACGACCTTCCAGGTGTGGATATCTGGCCCCCCACACATAAACGAGTTTGAGATCACTGGTCTAGAAACCATGGGTCTCCGAACTTTTTGGCTAAGGAACCTGTCGCTGTCTCGAGGGCCATAAGTAAATAATAATGAGGAAAAGCTAAATAACAAATCCTATAGACAAGTGTTTAAACACAAGATTGAAAGAGTAAACATTAAAAAACAAGAATATAAGGGGGCATATATCTACGTTATTTATAAATTCAATATTTAGCTAATTATGACATTGCAGAATAATTGGGAGCCACAAAACTCAACAAGCATAAATCAAATTGCACAAAAACTTTGCCATGTTCTAACAGGGCAGAAGACTAATGAGAATGATAAGACTGATGCTGACGATATGCAATAGATACGACACCGGACACGTAGCAGAATGTTTACATGCGAATGCAAAGGAATGTTAATATACGTGGTTTTGTAAATATGAAAAAGGATACTACTAATACTAATAGTAATAATTGTTTATTATTCCGCGCTTCAGAGCGACCGAAGTCTTCACAGGGTGATGCTGATGATGACGCTTTCCAATGTATAAATATGACGGGAAGACACAGCTTACGATAGGCAGTTTTCTTTTTTTTTTTATAATGTAATTAAATGCAAACGTGCAAGCGAGCTGGACAAGAATGATGAAAATAATTTAGTAAGGTACGTTGTTGGGCTAGTTGGTTCATCTTAGTAAAACATATAAAATAGCGCAACAGAAAACAAGGACAAACAGCGCCTGTCCTGTTTACTTCTTGTCCTTGTTTTCTGTTGCGCTATTTTATATGTTTTACTAAGATGAAAATAATCCCTGGAGAAGGGGAACAAGAGGGAAAAAGGACAAACATAAATCTCCAAACACAGCTAAGTGACTGGTGAGCGACCGACTCCACCTGTAATGGAGAGGTCCCGGGTTCGATACCCGGACCAGGTGGATTTTTTCGGTCGCTCACCAGTCACCTAGCTGTGTTTGGAGATTTATGTTTGTCCTTTGTCCCTCTTGTTCCCCCTCTCCAGGGATTATTTTCATCAGGCAGTTTTCTCTCGTTTTCTCTGGTATCTTCGTTTACGAGTTGCTCTGCGTTTCTTTACGCGCGCTTAGTTTTGCGCCTGGTGGGCCTGCTGGAAGCGCTTAGCGGGCTTCATTGAAAGAACCGTGGCCAGCCGCGGGTCGGTCGGAAGACCTTTCCGGCCAGGATTGAGCCCGCAAGCCAGGGTTCGGAGTCCCCTGGTCTAGAGCACGCGGTTCACGTCGTTCACAAAATTCCGCTAACTTGTAGAGGGGACTACATTGACCAAAAATGCCGTTGTTTACGGTAAATGATACGATGCCTGAGCATGAGTGATCAAAACAGACTACGGTTTGAGGTCACCTATTGTTCTACTGCGCAGGTTTCCGGTGGAATCTATCCTTGAACAACTCACGATAATTGGCAGACAACTGGAAGGGGCGGAGGAGGTATCGCGAAACCACTTGAGGCTGACGGTTGAACAATGGAGTGTGACAATTGTTGTGTTAAGCAAACTTCGGTTCCAGTGCGTGACGTGTGGCGACTGACCTGATTGTTGTTGCTGTATATTCTTTTATTAAATGGTTATCTGAGAGTTAGCGCTTCTCTAGTTTAGCAATTCTTATTCTCTGCCTGCATTCTTTACGTGGTGTTTAGCCTTTTTGGCAACTCCCTCATGGAAAATACACAAAAATGAACAGGGTGTTACAAGAAAAGTATTGCGGGGTACTTTTACCGCAAATATAAACTACTTTCGCCGAAAGCTCATTCTCCTCCCGAATGTAACCCTAGCGGTTCGAACCAGTGCCATCGTTTCAGAAATAAGCGCTACGCCGTTCAAAATCTATAAGTATTTTTTTCGTCGTCAATGAAAAAGTGGTCGCTTTGGAGTACATGTAACTGAATGGAACCAATTACTGAGAACGCGCCCCGTTTTTTCCTCGAAAATTTACCTAAATTAAATATAACTTTCGAATGTGATAACTGTTAGGTTTGAAACTTTTGGCGTCTGGTTCAGACCGCTAGCACTATATTTGGCCAAAACATTTACTTTCGGCGAATCAGTGCTGTTCTTTTTTGTTTTCTTTTAAATATCTATATTTCTTCTTTTGTTTTGGGGGGGGGGGGGGCGAAATGGGGGGGGGGGGTGGCGAAGGGGCACATGCTCTACAGAGGAATAGATTAAAGACACCCGTGCATAAACTATCTGTTTTCGAGAAGGCAGCGTTTGTTGACAGGAATGTCTCTCGCACCGCAACGCAGATGATGCCTCATATCAGCGGGCAGGCTGACGTTCTTCTCGACCACCTGGGGGAAGTGTCCGACCTCGGGACAGAGCTGACCACGTTTGAAACGTTTCAGGCTTTGGCAATGGACAACGTAGGCCGGGTCTTCTTTGGACTGAACAGCACATTTCAGCACAACGTCCACGATGCCTTCATTTCCAAGGCTTTGAACGTTATACCCCAAATGATGACCGGGCCCTCCCATTTTATTGCACGTAAGAATTACCCGTCTGCCGCTGATTCAGAATGAGACTTTTGCTAGCGTAAATATAAGTGTTCAAAACATGTCAGCTAAACAATACTGACACTCAGTCTTGGGTAAGTTACTTTTAAAAAGTAATTCGTTACAGTTACAGTTACTTTCAGAAAAAAGAAGCGAAGTTACCGTTACAGTTACCGCAGCAAAAGAGTAACTCGTTACAGTTACAGTTACTTTTAAAAAGTAACAACGTTACTTTTCAGTTACTTTTTTATAACAGGAAGAATTTAGAAAAAAACTAGAAAACGCCCATCACCAAGTTTTATTGCATAAAATTAGAAAGTACGCTTTTTACTTCATATTGTAACTTAGCAGAATTTGCTTCTCGAAATTGGTGTCTGAAAGTTTCTCTTGTTTTTGGTGGCGTACACGTCCCTGCCCTTACTGAACAGACCCCGCGCAACCAGAGCAACGAGCAAACCCCGCGCAAACAGCAGTAAATTTTGCCTCGACTGATGACACCACGCCGGAGTAGTGGCGCAAATCAAAATACCATGCATGAGCAGTGCAAATTAGTGGTGCTAATCAAAATCCGAAACAATTGAAATGCCCTAGGCGTGTATTGTTGTTTCACGACTCAGAAAAAAGAACAGCGGCAAAATTAATAGTGCTTCAAGATACAAAGATGTAAGTGTCTAGTCACAAAGTAGAAGCGCGTGCGTAAAGATAACTAGATTTTTTTTTATCACATCTGCACGTTACTATATAATATATTCGGGTCGTGACTCGCGAGAAATAACGTATTTACAAGTTTGTTCAAGGCCAGCTTGACACCCAAAACGTTGGAACCGACAATTTGGAAAGTGCTAGGAATAGCTAGATTGTACTCGTTCAATGATATATTATTCATAAAAAAGTTGAACGTAACGAGAAAAGTAAAGCCGTTACTTTTATCGTTACCTGAGAAAAAAAAAGTTACAAGTTACATTTTTAAAAAGTAACTCATTACAGTTACAAGTTACCAAAAAAGTAACAAAATTACAGTAACGCGTTACTAGTAACGCGTTACTACCCAAGACTGCTGACACTATATCTACACTACAGTCGCTGAAAGCTTAGGAAATGCGGAATGTGGCCCCTTTTGTCCTTGCTTCTTGTTTCGTAAGAGTTTTTGTTCAAATAGCACTTAACGTTAAAAAAACACACGTTTTACTTTTTTTTTTTGAGGGGGGGGGGAGGTGCGGGTGCTGCGTAATAGACATTGTCGAACGTCGGAGTGCGAGTGCGGTCCGCGAGTGCGGTGCCTGGAGCACGTCTTCACCTTGAGTCTTTAGCTTCCTGTTCTGCCCGTATACATCAAGCATGGCAGGCGTGCCACGCTGTCGGATATCGCGATCCTGGTGGTTGCTGCTAGAAGCACCGGTAAAAAAAGAAGGAACGCGAGCGTCGCTGTCGTCGTGGCGTCCCAACTCCTGTCTGTCGGAGCTTTCGTCGACTGTCAACCCGAAGAGCGACCTGCAGAGGAACAGGCGTCTGCCACATACACCACTGGTGATGTAACACCGCCAGGATTGCGGCAGGCCAGACCATGATACTTCTGCGATGTCATCAGCGCGAAATCGAAACGCTACTTTTTAGGACACGGTAGACACAACAATCGGAGACACGTTCCAGGCACCGTATAACACGTGTGTGCTGAGGGAGAACAAATAAGCTCATTTCTCTAAATAAACGAGTTAACTCTTTAAGTAGCCGTCTTCTCAGGCGCGTTCCTGTGAGGATTTGTTTCTTGTAGTAAAATTAGATTAGTGTCCTTGCTATGTTGTTGTTTTTTTGTTTGTTTGTTGTTGTTGTTTTTTTTGTGCCACGCCCATTGATGGCACTTTTTCAACGGAGAAAGTAAGGTTGTACCTAACGCGTCATGCCAAAACTGAAATAAAAAAAAAATATCTTATATGACTAATTGGCGACGTCAAAGCGTGACTGCCGTTTGGGGGCGCCGAGGTGGCTTCGGATGACGCTCCGCTGCGAGATTGTCGGACGCTGACGACACAAGCTGGTGGCACTCATTTAGCTATTTTAATGTTTAGTTTTGGTAAAAGTGTTCCTTTACACATCAGAGCGTATTTTGGATTTCTCAATTATAGGAACGGCTATTTTTCATTTGGACGAGGATCAAGAAAGCTCAAATGGATTGTCCAAGCTAATGCAAATATTTAATAAAAATACAACTACGGAGCTTTAGTTACTTTTTCCTCAAATTGTATTACTACAGTATTCCCCGAACGTCCGCCGCTATTGATACCTTTGTTCCGAAGGAATGCCTTTTTTAACCATTGTTAATTGTTTCAAGGCATTATCTCATGTTTCTTACGTAGCTGTTTGGGAGACATGTATTTTTTGTTTAATATTATTCTTTTCTTTCAGATTGTACGACTTGTTTTGGAAAAAAAATCATGAAGCCACTCTTCTGGTTGGACAGAGTATTGAGAACATTCGGGCTTGAAGAGTTTTCTCGCGATATCGCCAAGATAGTGGAGCAGAAAAGAAATAACCCTTCGGTAAGCACCTCAAAATGCTGGACAATTTCTTACAATTTCAGTGCATTTTTTTTTCTTTCTATAAGAGACATGGGCAGAATCATAGAGCGTACCAGAAACATCGACAAACAACCGCAACTTGTTCTTTTTTTTTTGTTTTTTGTAAAAAAAAACACATGTGTTCTTGATTTCTTTTTTTTTTTTGCAATATAGGGGTCACTTTATTCTTTTGCAAATTATTTTATAGAAAAAATTGTTAACTCTGTCATACACACTTTCCTAAACTAATCAAATCACAAGTGCACACATGATAAAATTAATAACTTGCTATAGCAATCCCTTCACCTTACCCTACCCCACGCACCACCTAATGCACAATATTACCGCGTGCACGTGCGAGTTCGCGGCGCGCACCGCTCCAATTCTGGGCAGGGGGTTCAAACCCCAGCCTACCAAGATATGTATTTTACCTTTGATGTTCTTCTGGAGCATCGCAGTAGAATCTGAAGCTAATTGTATTCTCTAGTCAATAATTTTCTCGATAGCATTATCCATTTAATATAAGCCGTAACTGGCAGCAGCTGGACAATAGCTTTTTTTCTTTTTATTGCGCAAGATGATCTCTTGCACACAAGAGAAACATCTTGACTGGTATAATTGCGTCGATCCTAGGGTCCTAACTTCCTCCTAATGAGGTTTGGCTGCATGGCGTTAGTTAGTGCAAGAGAATTGTTTTTCTTTGTCGTTTCTCTTTTTTTTTTCTGACTTGCCACATCATTGTTAAAAGTCTCATACTTGAGCCACGATGACATGTCTGAACCAAACAACAAAAAGTGGAGCCGAACTCTGCGCTTGTTTGGCGATTTAGGACTAAAGATGCCAGATGCCAATTAAACTAACAGCTGTGAAGCCTAACTTTGGAGCTTGTTTGTTGAATTAGGGCCTAGATACCCAGATTTTAGTCAAAAAGGGTCAATTATAATTCTACCCTGAGTTCTTCGGGCTTTTTATGGCCTTAAATTCCGAGCAACAACCATATCTTGGCCCATAAATATTTACCACCTGGCTGGTACCTTACACTTTTAGTTTGTAGGCCCAAGTTTCGCTTCGTTAGACGATTATTTTCTGTTTTTCCATTCAGCTATACATTTTTTTTACAATATGCCTCCTGCCGCAATCTCGCTCAGCATAACTCTGTCCTAAGTAGCCAGATTAACACACTGTCCCTCAGAGGGTACGCCAAAAATAAAATATACTATAACAAGAGCCCCACATATCCGCTGTAAACTGGCGGATGCGGATAAAAATGAGCCAGATTTGGCGGAGTGCGGATCGGATGTGGATGCCAGGGGTTGCGGATGTTGGTCGGGTGCGGATATCCGCGGCTTCGGATCTACATTTTTGCCGAGGTGGCCCATAACGTGCGCGACCGCACAGCGTAGAGTGGATAAGTGAATGTTACTACGAAGTGCACCATCGAATGTATTGCGGGAGCAAACTACTCTCTTAGATACAAGGTGCCAATAGGGTATCAAATTGTTCTTTACGTCAAGAAATATTTGATTATAACAAAACATTGATTTACAACGTTCCATCTCGCCAAACATGATGTCCCTCAAAAACGTAAAGAATGCGGGAGCATCAGGCGTCCCTGGAAAGTGTTTTCTTGTTTTGCAAAAAAAAAAAAAGCGAAAAACGTTCTTTGGGAAAAAACAAACAAACAAAACAATACGCACAAGCCACAAGACAATAGAAGAAGCCTGCAAGTAGATCGAGAAGACTGAATGCTTCTCGGCCTACAAGTAGATCAAGAAGACTGAATTCGATCCTCTGGAGTGGTGGAGCTTGCGCCAGCACAAGTTTCCGCACTTCATTGTTGTAGCGCAGTTTGTGCATGCCATCCCAGCATAAAGTGCATCGACGGATAAAGAGTTCTCTTTAGCGGGTATTAATTAAAGAAAAGTGAACCAGTCTGAATCTGTCCATGTTGACGATATTCTGCTTCTTCACGAACCTCGAGAAGTGTGTGTGTGCGTTTCCTGTTTCTGGACAGTTGTCGCTGAGTTCTTTCTAAGTATATGGCTCCGAGCATGCAGTTGAGGGTTCATGTTTAGCACTGAAATGGATAGGAGGTGTTGCCAGTATTGAATATTGTGATATTTTCCCAGTGGTGTATTCGGGGGTACGGCGCGCAATATGGAGCGTTAACACCTTAACGGAGCGCTGCAGGGAGCTGATGGAGCAACACGGTTGCAATGGACAAGTCCGCTAGCGACAAGAATGAACGAACAACACACAAAAAAAAAATATATTCCTTCCGCGCTTCAAAAGCAAAAAGAAACCTAGAAACCTGTTGGATTGGGGGATGATGGCTGAGGCTCTGCTCCAGCTGGCTTGGGGCCTGGTGGCTTAGCCGTCCGGGGTTCGTCTTGCAACCTGATTGCCCTGGGAAGAGCGTTGGGAACTGTGTTAACAGCAATGTCATCTGTACGCAGGAACCGTTCCTGCCCC